CTGATATGGAGGTGGCATCGTCATTATTAGAATGTGCATAACTTTTAAAGTAAACAACATAGAAAGATCCGACTTGCGTAGATTTGTAGAGCTTGAGTTGGCGGATCTATCGCACTCATTATATTAGAAACTCAATGCAATCATCATACAGCTTTCAGTCTTTTCCCGAAGACCACTGATTGATTATTGAATTATGAACCCATATTGTTGAATGCTATATGGAACTATACAGTGACACAGCTTCTTCTTTCAAATGATGAAAATCATAGTTCTCTATATAGTTTCTATCAAAAGTTATTCAAAAAATACTCACACTTTTTCTCTTTTTTTGAAATTGGTATTAGTTTCGAGTTTGGTATGCTTATATACTATTAGGATTTGTCGAGAAGATAGAGCGAAATGCACTCTATCGAATGAGATATCAGTCGAATAGATTCTGATGTATCACTTTGGAAAAAGCTATTAGAACAATCTCTGTAAGATTAAAATGTGAACCACGATATAGCTGTTATTCACACTGTCACAGAGAGAATTGCCAAAGTGCCCATCAAAGCCTGTGATCGGTTACTACGGTATCTATCACAGTCTTTGATAAGCACCAGAGTGTTTGTTACTATCTGTGACAGAGTTGCCAGATCTCCGCAATGACAGGAAAAATTCCTAGTTTTTACATTTTTTCTGACTTTCTGAATTTCGAGATGTTTCCAAATTTTTTTTTCCGAGCTGTTGTGCTTTGCTAAATTCGAGCTTTTATAAGTTTGATTATGACTTCGAAGTTAACTCTTTCCAGTAATTAATGCATCGTTATTATGCTAATGTAATCATGATATAGTACACAGCTTTGATACTACTAATAGTACATGCTCTTTTGAATCTAAAACCTTTCCGAACTAAACTAAACAGATTATGTAATTAAAAGAAGCTAGTTGAATAAATAATTTTGCTAATATAAGCTGAGTTTTAAGTTTAAGAAGGAACCCTTTCATATGATAATTCTAATGTGTTAAATTGAATTCGATTCAAACATGAATGACGAGTTCGAAGATTCGAATACGAATATAACCGAGATTGAAGAAGTAAAATAAAATTATATTGCTAACAATTTTCATATAAAATGCTAGCTAATAGAACAAAATATATTTCAATAGAAAGAGTCAACATATGTATTTAAACGTCAATTAACTACTTTCCGAGTTTTTTCCAAAACTGGCATAAAAAAATTTTCGAATTTTCATTGCCAAAATTCTGATTTATAACTTTTTGATCTTGCAACCATGATTTATGATGAGTCGCCGAGGAATCTATCACAGTTTGTAGAAGGCAGTGGATTCAAATTTTTACCCTCTACACTTCAGCATGCCTTTTTAGATCATGTTTCACATAAATAACCCAATACTGCCTAGCCAAGTTCAGCAAAAGAAAAATTTTTTTTTTCGAAAAAGTTCGTTAGAGTTCTGTATCTGGTATTGACTTGATAATCTTTCGGATGTGAGCTAGAATAAACGAAAATTTAGATTCAAAGGTTTTTAAAGGATGTTCTTTGATTTGAAACAAAAAAGAATATAGGAATCAAGATTTTCAAAAAGATGATCATGTTTGATGGAGTTGTGCACTATCTCTTTTCGTACAAAAAAACATTTGATTCATTTCGAAATTTTTCTTTGAACGAAAAGTCTATACATTATAAATTAATTCTTATTGTCAATCAAAGAATTATTTTACTTGATATTTCAGAAAAATTTGTTACAAACTATGAAGGCATATCTTACAACCTATTGCTTGACTAAGAAAGATCTTGTGAAAAAAAACAAAAAAAAGTAAATGTAAGCATTGATAGTTGAACACAATAAAATGAATTTATTTTTCATGTATTCTCATTTCACATGACTGATAAAATAATAATATTCTCTATTAAGTTTTTCGAATAAATATGAATTAGAATTCGAAGAAAGATTCTTCATCATATATCCAATATAATATGTTTCTATTAATCCATGTAAAAATTTTCAAAATAACCATATGAAATTACATTATATTAAAAGAATCATTTTTCTCTATATGAAAAATACTATCTCATATCATTATACACAATAAAGTCCTTTTGAACTATAGTATACCCTTGAAAATTAAATATTCAAGTAATATGTGGATAAAAATCAATTCTTGAAATTATTTTCTTTTATTAAAATATAAAAATCATTATGCTATTTCATCAGTTATTTACGCTGCTATCAGCTAGACTTGATACAGACACAGCAGGTTGATGGATTATAATTATTGGCGGTGGTGGATATCCTATATATATAAACAAATAAATTTTAATAATACATATGCATATATATATATATATAGATATACTAATCATACCTCTCACTTTCATTTCTCGAGCTTCTTGACAAATAGCACATGGTGGACAACAACATGTAACTAAACAATCTCCACAAACACCTTCTTCTAAACTATATTTTTCTCTTAATTGTCCACGTCTAACTGTATGAATAAGACAACAACAACCAAATAAACTCATGAAACAATACACACAACAATGAGTTAAACATGTTGAATGATTATCAATTTTTGCTGTATTTTGACCATATAAACAACAACAACACCAAAATCCATAACAACACATACGTCGATCATTAAAACAACCACATAATGACTCTATATGTATTTAAAATAAAATTAAAAGAAAACATTAAATATAGAAAATAAATCGACTTTATTACCATTCCAAGCTTGTTCTTGGTATACTTGCATGTTTGTTTAATGATAATGACAAGAACAGAATAGAAATGTATTTTCTGATAGAATTGTTAATGTATTCATGAATAATCATATATCAAAATAAGCTCAGTTTTCATTCATTTTCGATGACGACAAAAAAAAAAATAAAGTATAACATATTACAATATATCCAATTTCAGATAATAACCTGAAAAAAAAAGTCTTTTATATGAAATATTATTCATATTTGACTTTAATTAATAAAGAAAAAAAAAATAACATTGTTTTTTATTAATCAATCGAAAAATAAAACTGCTAGTTAATTAATAACTCACATATAGGAATGACCTTTAACATACAGTATCATTTTGTAGAACATAGAAAAGATATGAATGTTGATTTATATAAAATTATTTATTTTCTTTATATAAAAGGGTAGCACAGTTTAAAGAGAACAATAACATTTCCCTTGTTTTTACTGAACACTTAACTATACTTTTAGAATTCGATAGAGAATTTTTTTGCTCTACAAAACTGTTGCATTTGTTTTTCAAGTAAGTTTTTTTATATTTTTGTGCTGAAGAAAAATTTAAAATATTAATACTTATTCAACCATTCAAAGAACAATAATGAAATAAAAAACTGGAAAGAAGTTTTATTTGACATGTTTATGTGATTGTTAATTTTATCTCGATACAACCTAAATATTAGTATTCGTCAACTTAGCAGGCACACACATACTTTGTTCAGAATTAAATCCCATATCTGACAGTGCAAAAATGGCTGTTTCATATATGAGGTCTTGTTTTGAAAAGCATACTTTTCTGACATACTTAAAAAAATATCATTAGATTTTAACGCTCCAAGCTTTTGTTTTCTCTCATGAACAATAGCATCGGGAACTTTGAAAAGGTCATCGAAATCGAAAGAATAAAAATTCTCTAAACATTGATGCTAACTGTATTACTTTTTAGATAAATCTTCATAAATAAAGACATACACAAATTGATAGATGTTTGCAGAAAATCAAAAATCGCAGTTAGACGATTGAGTAGGAATTTCTATTTGACATTTTGTTTCAATAAGAAATATTTATTTGAAAACTAAATAAAACAATTTTGTAGAGTGAAAAATTCTCTATCAAATAACTTTTGGAAAGTGTATCAGAATGACCCAAAAAAGAAAATGAGTTTGTCTCATTTAATGTGCATCAGAAAAATTTAAAAAAAAAATCAATCTTTCATATTTGTTTGCTTCCCTGTTAGTTCGTTTAAATTAATAATCAAATCTTTTCATGTAAACATGTTCAATAACACATTTTAACTGAAGAATTTACTCTGTTTATCTTGTTCCATTTCAAAATTCTTCAGATCGACCATTGCATGTATCAAGTGATTCTCTGTAGTTGGCTGCTATATAAATATGTCATCGAATTGTAAACATTTAACATTATTTAGTGCTATCTCTCTCCCTCTCTCTCTCTCTCTCTCTCTTTCTATTATCGATTGAGTACAAAATCTATGGTTATTAGATGAAAATACAATTTTTCTAAAATAAATAAACTCTTTCACGTTCAATTCACTTCAAATAACGATAGAATGACAGTCTTTGCAATAAGAATATTAAATTTGATCTTAATTATATCATCTCAAGCATTCATAATTTTCTTGTCGCCAATATTTCTTATATTGATACAACACTGGATAAGTACATTCTTAACATACATCGTTTCTACAACATGTCATCATGCCCTAAAGCTTATATTTTAAACAATTCAAATGAACATTTCCTAGGCATTGTTTATTTTGAGTTTTCTACAACTTTCACATGATGAACATGTATTTTGCCGTCGATTTACATCTAAATGTATAATCATATATAGTTTGAGTTGATTCAACACAGTTATTTTTGATGAATCGCATTCATAATTTAGTGAAATGTCATATAATGCATTAATAAAATGAGTTTTATTGCCAGTTTTTTTTTGCAATGAGCTTTTATTTTATTACGTCTATTTGTGCTTACAATACCATAATAAGAGAAAAGAAAAGAAAAGAAAAAGGGAAAACGGTATAATGCCAATAATAAAAGAAAAAAAAGAAAAAAAAGAGGCAAAAATAAATGAGATAAAAAGAAAGACAAATATGTAAAAGCGGAACCATATATTAACTTGTTTCTTTAATATAAAATGAACGAAAATGAATCTCTAAAATATCAGCCGTAAAGGATATTAAGATGAGAAAAGAAAATATTGTGTAAAAAAAAACCTGGAAGAACTCGCGCACTCATGTAATCTATTTTCTTATTATGAATGATGTTCGATGAATTTAAACCAGTGGATTAGAAGTGGCTCATGTCTATGTTAATCTTTTTTTTTTCACTCTAGGCAACCTAAAGAAATGTCCTAAATTTAACTGTCTTTCACAGCATCATTTCTTTGCCTTATTCATAAAGACATGGTAGTAGAAAAGATCGTTGTATTGCCATTGTATGAAATATTTTTTGTTCAATACTCATGTTATTCGACAAATATACAATAGAGAACAACTGTTCTTCAGTTTTGATATTTCAAACATCAGATACTAGTCTAGATCTTCGACAAGAAAAACGATAAATATTGTCATTTAAATGTTTCTCAAGTTTAAAAAGAGTTTCTATATAATTTGTTGATAATATAACGTTTGAGAATGAATTCAACGGTATTCTCCTCGTCTTGGCCATTTCAGGTTTTCGAAAAGAATACAATCGATCGGCATGAAATTTTTATCATAGATAGAGTACCGAAAATAAGGAGATATTTTTTCGAAGAAAAAAACTTTAAATAAGGTTGTGGCAATTTTTTTCTCGAACAAACCCTAATGTTTCATAGAACCATATCAGGCTGAAAATGTTTTTTGAAGATACCTTAAACTATATCTCAGAAGCGATTTTAAGCTTTTTCAAAGATCTGACTTTCTTTTTTACGAGAGAAATACGTGAAAGTTCGGATTCAAAATCGAGATACTCGCATTCAGGACTTTATAAATTCTGATAGAAAGGCCAAAACCGAAAACATCCGATTTTACCTCTCGAGAATACTTCCAAGTATCTGTGGTAAAAATTTCATGCAGATCCGTTGCTTCCTCGCTGAGAATCAGACATGACCAAAAAAAAAAAAGAGGGAAGTGCTCTTAACCAAGACTAGTATTGCTTCATCTTACGTAACATATTACTGATTACGACGACTATTTTCAAAGAAGCTTTATATTCTTCTTTTTGTTTTATCTCTCTCTCCTCTTGTATTAAATCATCCGTTTTTTGACAGAATGAATAACAATAGATAAGAAATAATGCTCCCAAATGTAATCTTTCTTTTTTTGTTTGTCTATTACTGATTCCATATAAAACAAAATGAATATATTCATTTTTATTGTTATATCGAAATAAAAAAAAAAAAAGAATATAGATTATTTCTATACAAATAAAAGAAAAAAAAACATATTTTATTATGTTCTTATATTATGGATTTGATGTGGTTTTTCATGATTACTACTATGATTTTCATCTGGTGGTGCTACATAACTAAGTACATTAAGTATAATAACAAGAAGAAAAATAAGATAATCAATAAAAATTAAAATATAAGCAGCTTTATATAAATTTTCATGACAATATTCAGGTAAAGTTGGATCAAAAAATTCTACACGTAATTTCACTTCAAATACATACACTTGTCCAACAAAAAACCAAACAACAATAAATAAAAGAATAAGTATAAATATTGGCATAAGAATTCGAATAATTAATGGATATGACTGATGATCATCATATGGTGATGATGGTGATGATTGTTTACGAACTTTTATATGAATAATTATACCAATAATTGCTAATAAAATACCAGAAATACCACTAGCAATCATCCAAACAACAATCATTTGTTGAACAGGACATTGACCAATATAAATAAGACCAATTACAAATTGTGTTATTGGTATAGTAACATAAATAAGAAGTGAAATAACAAAATAGATTGAACTAAAAAATCCATTTGAAGTAGGCGGAAGAGGTGGAGGTAAGGAAGTTGTTTCAGAAAATTTTACTTTTATTGGTATTGACAAATTATAATCAGATTTTAATGGGACAAGATAATCAGTATTTTCATCAATCGGATGTTTATATGTAACTTTTTTACTTTTAGATGACATGTTTAGTTATAGATCTGAAAAGAAGAAACAAAATAAGATAATCATAATTAAATCTTTTCAATGTTTAGCAAAAAAGAAAAAAAAAAGAATCCTATTTGATTATATGAATCTAAGCAGAAATTTTTTAATCTAATAAATCTCTTTTAGATATTCAATTATAAACAAGAAGAATAGTTTAGAAAAGCGATCAAATATAACTATTTTTTGTATTATATTGAAATTTGAGACAGAAAAAAAATAAACGTCAATAGGCGCATGTCATCTGACCTATGCCTTTGAAAATTATTTCCGGCGAAAGAAAAAATTAATTAAACTCAACAAATTTATTCTTTTTATCTATCGATGATTAATATTATCAAGCAAAAATAACTTCAAAAAATTACGGATGAATGATTGTCGATGATAAGCAAACGAGTCGTCTCACCTTTTTATACCTAATACTATTTTCTTCTTCTATTACACAGTTTATCAATGTGTAACTACCTACTATCATCAATTCTCGAATAGTACAGCCTTGAATTTGATGCATGTTCATTTTTTTTTTCTTTCTATTTCTTCTTCGTCCTCGTTTTTTTTTTCTTCTGTTCTCTTGGACTTCTGCTTAGTGTATATACTACTCTCACCTTTTAGGCGCTGGTGACGTAGAAAAAATGAAGTGGCATAGTTAAGTGTATGTGAGATTGCGGCAATAACGACAGCTGAAACAAAAACGAGTACAAAAATGCAAAAATGCCAGAAAAGAAAAAAAACACGAGATCCGATTTTACATTATGTATGTATGTAGTAAACTTTTGGTTACATGAAGAACAAACTGAAGGACGCATACATAGGCGTGATGAATGACAAATATAGACAAATGATCGAACGAAAGAGAAATTATATAGGTGTGTATGCGTAAAAAAAAACGAAGAAGTTTACTTTTTCGCTTCATTTTTATGTCAAAATTGAGAACATCCGAAAAAAAAACATTGACCTTTTGTATTTGATAAAAGAAACTTTTTTTTTGTGTGTGTAATTCATTATGTATATAATTTTTGTTTTAAACTTTTCAATGAGGAAAATGTTAGTAAATTATATGAAATTTTTTTATACAACACTTATGAATACAAAACCATTTGAAGCCATGACATCAGATGGTATATTTGTCATAAAAAGAATATAGAAAAGATTATAAGTTGTGTCATTCTATTTGATTTGACAAATTGACTATTCACAAAATCTATTTATCATTTGAACAAAGAATAAAGAAATTATAATACATTTGTGTTAATCTATATTCATGTGTTCGTACGTACCCTTAGTGCGCATAATATTATATCGAGATCATTATTAATAGCATAGAATTTTTTTATAAAAGATAGTACTTTTAGAATATAAACATCGATTTAGATTGAAAAAAAGAACATTTGTGCTAATGTATTTCAATCGAAATTTGATAGTGAACAAAATATTCTAAACTTTCAGCTTCATTAATTAAGTTCGAATGTTAGTTCTACTATAAAATAGATCAGATTAAAGAATATGAATAGTATCAATATATGAATTAATACATTTAAACAAATTCTTTTTCTTTTCTATCCCATATTAAACTTCTTCATTTTAAGCTGCTATAGTTGGAGTAGTAAGAAGTTGTTCGGTATATATCTATAATGTATCGTACTTGAATTGAAGTGTAACTACGTAATATAAAACGACCCTGAACAAGTTGTTCAAAGATGTTTGTTTTGAACCAATCGTCCTATAGCATGTTAATTACATAGTTACATACATTGCCCTTGTGACTATGTATGTGATTAATAAGTGTGCACGAGAAGCTCAAATGATTGGTTATAAGAACTTTATATCAGACTAACTTTCTGTCCAAACTTACATTTATTATTAGTTTTTGGAACAGATATCGACATTATGAAACAGTCTTTGAATAGTACTCTATACCGAAAGATCATTGAAAAGTGAATTCATTTCTTTTTCTTCAAGTAATATAGATATTTATAATATTTAATCTAGAAGAAAATCAAATCGATAATAAAGGAAAGTAAAATTTAGTCAATAAATTTCATTTCTATTCACTTCTTTTATATTTATATCCAGTGTAAGAGACGGTGCTTCTCCGAAGAATGATTGGGTTCTTCTGCAGTTTGTAGTTACTGCGACATATACTACAGAATGGTCTAAAAGTTCGAACGAAAACAAAAAACCGGGAATAGCTGCTCGGCAATTCTCAAGGAATTTAAATATTTTTTTTTTGTACAATTTGATCATATATTTATAAAAAATTTTAGATCATATGTCTATGTCTTCAGAAATCAGAATTAAAATAGTTTTGATTGATGGCCAAATCCGAGTCAGCTAAGCTGCAAATCGAATTCGATACCAAAAAAAAAAAATATGCCAACTAAATCGTGTATTAGAACCACACTTCAGTGATTTTGTGAAACTGTTACTATAGAAAATCGATCACGTTCTAGCAAAACCTACAGTAGTTACTAAAGAAAAAGTCAGGTGAATGTGTTTTTTCCAAATTCAATTTGTAGTTACTATTTTACAATGTTGACTGATTCGAATTTGATCATGAGTAAAACTATTTTAATTCTGACTTCTGTAGATGCAGACTTTTTATCTAAAAACTTTAATGAATATTTGATCGAATTGTAAAAAGAAAGATGTTTAAATCCTTTGAATGGTTGAAGTGGTATTCATGGTTTTTTTTTCGTTCGAACTTTTCGAACAGTCTATGCTTCCAAAAATAAGTTTTCACTCTTTCGGAAGAGAAAATCTAGATGAAACACTATTTATATTTATCATTCAACATTGTCAGTACGATGTTGAATTTTGAATTGAATCATATCAGCAGTTAAACAATATCTAGTGAATACAATTGGCATTCATAGATTAATTTTGTAATTTATTTAATTTGAATTAATAAAAAAAGCACAAATGGCACTAATAAATGAAAACAATGAACCAACTAAAGCGCATATAGCAGCACTACCAATATTATCTCTTTCAAATTGAATAACCCAACTAAGTCCAAATAAAAAACCAATCGTACCCAATACAAAAGAACTAAATAAATAATTTAATATTATCATAAATAAATATAAAGAAAAAAAAAACAAAAAGGGAACTAACAGACAAGCCAAACTGAATCCACCAATATACATAATAGATTTATTGATATTTTTAAACATAGAAATAATAAAAAGATATATAGCTCCAATACCCGATGTAATACAAGTCATAACCATAAAGATCCTTAAAATATAAACTTTTTAATCTATGTTCAACTAAGCATTGTTTTTTATGTTCTTATTACCGTGCTATAATGAGTTTAATACATGGCATTCTTTCATTTGCACATATTATTCTAAATTTAACTAATCTTCCACTATAAACTGCATGTCGATACCATAAACCAGTATAAACTGAACCAATATTTCGATATGCAAATGGAAAATTACTCCAACGAACATGTATATGACTTATAATAAATAATATACAAGCAATAGTCAACAATATACCAGCTCTAAAATAAAAAAAAAATAAAAATTGATTAAGTTATCTAAAATGAAGATAAAAAATTTTCTCTAGAAACTTATTTAACATTTATCATATAGATTTCAATGAATATATCTATTGAACACATTTATAATACTTACATCCAAGAACAATAAGATCTTGATGAACGTAGTTGCGTATTATATGATTTCATTTATTTAATTGAATATTGAAATAAAACAAAAAAAAAAAAATAACAAAAATCGATAAATAATCGAAGAAGAATAAATGATTCAATTTATTGTATCTAGGGAAAAATTTTTTTTTTTCATAAATATTCAAATTTTCATTAAAGTTTTACATCAAATAGATTGTATATACAGAAAAAAAGACTAGAAATTTATTAGATTTTTCTGATTTTGTACTTGATTGATATATGATAGTTACAAGAATTAAATTAATATATTCAAAGAATATACTGAAAATTTTCTTTCTTAAATTTGATTTTCATTACTATTATCAACAAATTCGAATAAATCGATTGATATTTCAAGAAAGATGATCTTTATGAGAAAAAAAAATTCTATCTTAATTTTTCATTTCAACAAACATTTATCTTTTTCTTTAATTTAGAAAAAAATAATATATTCAATGTTATTTATGCTATTCGCATTTTGCATCGGCCTTGATTCTTTGTCACTTGTGCACAATGTTAATTGATGTTTCACTCGAGACTTCTTTTTTAACTTAAAAAGAACATTCACAACAGTAAAATCAATCAAAAAAACGAATTCTGTATATGTGTTAAATTATGAAAAAAGGTAACTTCTGTTTATAGTTATTTCAGCCTTTATTTCGCTTTGGATTATCCTTCTACAGTTGATAGTCTATGAATAAAAGCTCTATCAAATTTAATTTATAATTTCGAACACTTATTATAATTTCTCTCGACCACGTACACATGGGATTTTCACTTATATAAGTTAGACAATCTAATTCTAGAGACTTTATTCGATAAGTAGAAAAATAGATCTTAGTTCTTTCAATCTATTCATTGCACTTCTGATTGCAGCTATAGGAATTGTCATGACACTAACTATCACTATATCAACATCAATCAGTGTAATAACGAGTAAGAATATTATTAACCAATATTTCAATCGATAGAACAATGATTTCTATTGTCAGTGTAGAATTCTTCACAATACTAAAATAAAAGCTGAAGAATCGCTTTCTAACTTCAAGAATGTTAACAAGTAATTTTGATTGAAATTCACTTTGTTCTCCGATGGAATATTTATGTTTCCAAACATTTCGAAAATTTTAATAGCAAAAAAAAAAAAGCAATGATCAATTAAAATTGATATTGAATGGTGACGATAGACTTTTTTCGCCATTAAACTTGTATGTCATTTTATACACTTCCCAAGGTTTTCATAAGAATCACTCATAATGAGTTTTTTTTTCTGCTGATGAAAAGGTGATTTCACTTGAGATTTTGTTCCCAAGAAAATCTTTATTTTTCATTTTTTTGATATGATTTTCAGCATGTTAATGATGCTTGAGGAATTTTTTGCAAGAAATAAAATGTAATTATCGAAATAGATCAAATGCCTTTCGGATGGTACGAGAAAATTTTCTGCAAAAATGAAGCACACAATGATTTTTTTTCATGTTCTATACAATCTCAACTCTATAACATTAATTCTTATATGAAAATAAGGAAATCTAATCATGCTGATCATCATGTTATTTCAGTCAATAAGAGACTCTTCTGTTGACAAGTCTTAATAGTCAAGTATAAATGCAGTTTTGTTACATATAACAATGGCATCATATACAGCATGATTCACTTCATTTTTCTTTTATTATTATAGAAGAAAGAAAAACGTTATGATTTGAAACGATGCTCTATATGAAAGTTACGAGTTTTAAGTAAAAGAAATACTTGTTTCGATCAGTACGCTAAAACTTTATCAATATAGGCTTGATTCATCTTTTTTGCATTGGCACAAAAAATATTTTTTTAGTTCATAAAGAGTTTCAATTTTTTGGTTTACTCAGCTGTTGTTACAGATACTCACAGATTGAATAGACCATGGAAGTTGCATCTTGTGATTTGAACATTCATTCCTCGGGTTTAACATAATTAATTTTTGATTGAATCATAAAAAAAAAAAACAATGATTGTCTTGATGAAAGATTATTTTTGTTTTTTTCATTGTTTGTAAACAAATGAGGAACATTACATGATCAAAATGTGGTCAATATAATAATCTGAATTAATTTTGAAATTAGGTTTTAACAAAACGAGGAGATGCCTTAATACTAGTCCAAATCATAAAATCCTAGTGAATTGGATGAATTTTGTTGAATTATCATTCATTGATAGTCTAAATCGACCTTTTTTATGCAAAAAAATAACTTTTCTCTCTCCTTCAATGCCATCAATCATGATGAAATTTTTGTAGAGATTATTTAACTAATTATCGATAAAGTCGGCGTGCACGCTGACGATGTGATTCGACGTTAATTTATTAACTTTTAGTTTTTTTCTGAAGAGTGAAGTTAGCAAATCTTATAATTCTTGTGATAGTTAATTAGCTGGCACAGCAAGATTCGGCAATGAAACATTGACTAGGAGAATTCTCAATGTCAATTATTTGAATAACTTTTAATACAGTCAATGGATGTAGACACTGGTCATTGTCGAGAAAATTTCATTTTTTCAATGAAATTACATTGACAACCAATCTTTCATTTAACATTTGTGGTTGAAAGTATTTCTGCTGCAAAAGAGCCAAAATAAGTCCCTCAAGAACGTCAGTAATTTTTTTCCGCGGCATTCCTTTGAACAGAGAAGGATCACCCCTACCACATCCCATAGTCACGCGATTTTTCCTCATATTCTGTGAAGTGTAGATGGCACTCCAAAACTAGTAAAAATAGATAAATCATGCTGTATATGTGTCTCAAACTGAATAGACATAACAGTACTATATCAATTGTTCTTATGTACCTCCATGCATCAAGTATACTTACATTAATGTAGGCAATGCTAATACAATAAAGATTCCATTTATCTTTCGGAAAGATGTTGACTACTTTTCTCTTAGTGTCTTAGCAAAATATTGCTAACAAATGTTATTTACATATATAATGTTTGACTATTCAATCAAGATAATACTTCAGGGTAGTTATACCAATGTATTATACTTATTATTTAATCTCAAAATGGATTAAACTTTTCTAGTTTGGGAAAAAAAAGTATTGTTTTGCTGGATTTTTTAATACAATAAAATAATTTCAATCACAAAAAATAAAAATATTGAAATTAAAAATAACTATCAAGCATAAAATAAAATGTTAAATCTCTTACAAAAATGAAATGTAGCCATTAATGATCTAAGATCTTCAACAGAAAAAGATATTGTCAATCTATTGAATAATTTAATATTGACTCTAAAATCATTGTATTTAGTCAATTCTTCTTGATAGTGATTTATTGAATAAAAAAAAAAACAACTAATGTTTTGCAATTCTCTGATTTCTTTTCATAGGATGATGGTAATGATATAATTCATCTGGTGCACATATGTTAGTAACCCTGGCATGTAACATATTAATCATATTTAATGAATTATGTAGATTGACATATCAATTTACTCTTGTTCATTAAATTCCGTCTTTTTTTTTCTCACACATTCTATAGTTGTCAACATAAATATTCTAATTTATAATTCTTTTCTTGACTAATCAAATGTCACTTAGATTATAAGAATTATAAACGAATATCTAAGTATTCAAAATACTTCAGGTATCAAAATTGTGTACAATGAAGAAATGATACTATTACCGATCTCATTAGATTAGATGTACTATTATGTAAGAAAAGAAAAAAAAAGAAAAAGGAGAGTATAAATATAAATACTCATGAAATGAAAACGATAAGATAAAAAGAAGAATGGAAGAAAAAAAGAAGAAGGCAAACAATATAAAGTAACATATTATTTGATGACAAATAATAAAGTCTCTCAAAATAGTAAGAGTAGTAACAGTTACAACTTATGTTAGAAATAATTAAAGGTAATTTTTTTTGTTGAATTTTCTTTTAAACATTAAAAAAGAATTTTATAAAGATAAATATCTTTTCGAATAAAAATATTAATTATCTCATCTATAGTTTATAAGAAGTAGATTAAAATTATTATTATCATAGAATGTCTGTTTAAAGGTGAAATAAACATGAAATATTGTTTGTTTTAATTTTAACATGAAAATTATTATTTATAAATCTTTTATTTAGTTCATTTAAGTTTTAATAATTAACGACATGTCAACTGTCTAAATAAAGTTATCATATGTCAACAATACGAGCAAAACCCTAATTAATATTTGACGTATTTATTTTGATGAATCATAGATATGGATACATGATAATCAATCCTTACACATATGACAATTATGTGTCAAAAACATTAATGAATAAGAATGCGTACATTATTGTTTTCTGTAAGAGATAGTTGACAAAATTATATATATATATCAATTTCACATTATAATAACAATTATTAAAGCCAAAAGATGTCTCTAATAAACATTAATTCTAATGAAAATGAAAGAAAACCGAATAATCAAAAAAACTTCATCATACAATCTTAATCTGCTTTCATGATTAATTCAAGAATAAAAAAAACATTGATGTTTTTGATTTTCAATCAATGCAGAAGAGACAATGTTTGATTATAAAGAATTAATCAATTCTCTCGTATTTTTGCTTTGTATAAATACGGAACCAATGAGCAACGAGCAAGCCACGTCGAGTATAGTCTGCTATTATGTGTGTACTTGTGCAGACATAAGAAAAAAAACGAAAAAATGATGAAGATTGGTGAAATATTTTTACCAGATGATCAAGATTTTCGTCAATTTAAAATTGATTGTACAACTGATCAAGGATGGACTGTATGTTATGATAAATCATCATGTCGTGTATCTACAAAAAAAAATTCTCTATCACAATTTGATGTTCTTCGAGTAAAATTATTATTTTCTATAATTAATTAATTAATTAATTAAATTAAATTCATTTTATATATTTACTTTTTTAGATTCAATCAGAATTTCAAGGTATATCAAGTGAATTACTTTATGATGTTATACATGATGGTGAATTTCGTCAAACATGGGATACAGCTATGTTAGAAGGTTATGAAATTTGTTCTGTTTTACCAAATAGTGATATTGGCTATTATTCAAGTAGATAATAAATAACTAAGTTTTATTGAATAGTTCATATTTTTCTTTTGTACTAGTTAAAAGTCCACCGCCATTTAAAAATCGTGATTTTGTAACACAACGTTGTTGGCTAGATTTAGGACGAAATAGTGAAAAATATATTATTAATCATTCTGTCAATCATCTTGTATGTATTTTTGTTTAGTGAATTTAATTTTTTTGTTTCTAATTATATAACTCTATAGCGCGAACCACCACGTAAAAATTGTATTCGCGGAATATCTTATTTAACAGGTTATTTAATTATACCTTCAGGACCTTCATCATGTATATTTTATTATATGACACAATCTGATCCTGGAGGTTAGTTCATATAAAAAATAAAATTTTTCTTTTTTGTTGAAATAAGATTGACTTTTTGTTTTTTTGAAATTTCTTTAGGTAGTTTACCAGCTTGGCTTGTGAATAAAATTTCGAAAGTATTAGCACCAAAAGTAAGATCTTTTTATGCGGAAAGAAAAAGCTGAAAGATCAAGAAGGTTTTATTTGTAGTTAATGAAAAGATTAGCTAAAGCTTGTACAAAATATGATAAATGGAAAGCCAAAAATCAACCTTCACATAAACCATGGTTATATCCCGAACAGATGACTGTTGCTCGTTACAATCCAAATGAAATTGGAACATTTGATGTGAATGAAACATTAACAACTTCAGCTAATACTGGTGAAGCAAGTGTAGGAGAAAATACAGTTGAAATAGATACTTATATGAAAGACGATTAAATATTATTCTGTGATATATATATTAGGTGATGGATTCTATTATAATGTGAATTCTTATTTGCCAAATACTATTTCCGCTGATAAATTCTTTTTTTTTTTTTCAAAATTCCATCTTATTTTCATTGCTGTGGATATGCGTAAACATTTTAATTTTATTTTTTTCCTTCCTTCTTTTTTTCTTCTTTTATTATTATTGTCAACTATCGAATATTGTGCGCCATAATGCCTGTATTGTGTGGGCTGTTTGGAAGAGAGGCAACTGAATAAACTCGTCAATAAAAAGCAACAAGAGAACGACGGTAATTTTGATGAAAAAAAAAGAAGAAGAAGAAAAAAAATTTACTGTGAGGTGACATTGAAACAACAGAAAAAAAAGGGAATCATAAGAAGTACTATAGCAATAACAAGAACGTGAATAGCTTTATGAATCATATAGATTAGTTTTATACAAAAATTTCAAATCAAAAACAAAAATTTAGATCGAAATTTAATCAAATATTTACATAAGAAGTTTATTATGTCTTGGCGATCAATCGTAATTGGATGTCTCATATTTGCTACTCTTGTAATACCTATTGTTCAATTATCATTTGGTTTTCAATATATAGGACAAACTAATCAATGTCCTATACAACATGATATTATGTTATTAATGGCTATTGGTGGCGTATTTGAAGTAATTTTTTTTGCTGCAGCTTTTGGTTTTGTCTGCGCAGTTACACCATCAAAATATAAAGAACAAAAATCAAAATCTACAACAAAAGATAATACTAAGAAAGGAAGTAATCGTGCATCACTAATTCTCATTGGTAAATTATCTTATTTTTCTATTTATATTAGCTCTATGTTCTATTAATTGTATCTAGGTTTCATAACGGCTATAATTGGAGCATGTGCTATTATCTTTTTTGTTCTTATACAAATTCGAGTATATGGAAATTTTAGAACAGCTCAATCAAATGATTCTAGTTTACAAACTTATTGTCTATTTACAATTTATTCTAGTGCTTTTGGTCTGATGATTGCTACTTATGTGGCTTTTCTATTGCTTATTATTGTTACATTCATTTTGTTATGTGGAATTTGTGCTCCAAAAAAATAAAGAATACTATTTTGTTAAATAGAATTTGCTTTGTATTTTAATTTTGCTCGATATTTTTACAAAAATTTATGTTTATAAATCTTTTTTGAAATTTACATTAATGGAATTTATTTTATAGTAAAAAAAAATGATGAAGTAATGTTCAATTTTCCTTCTCTGTTGGTAATAAAATCTACATTAATTTCTTTTTATTAAGAGAAGATCAAATCTATGGAATTAAATGAAATTATCCGTAAACAAAAAATATAAATCACAAATTTTGAATTATACTTCAAATCAATTTTTTAATAGACACAAAAGAAAAACAAAATAGCCACAATTTCAGCATCATAAATATATTTCAATTTGATTATAAATTCATTATAGAATTAACCAATAGTGTATGAGAATCAAGACTTCACGTTAATTCCATCATAACACAATAAATCTGTTTCTCATTCTATTATATTACTATTGAATGCACATTCATTATTTTGTGCAATATAGTTCAGCAGTTCTTTTTTCAAATATCTACTCTAATTTCTACAAAAAAGACATTGATTTTCGAGAAGATTCGAACTTCCTATACATTTAATTCTAATGTGTGTAATATGATATATTCTCCCAGGAGTTCTCATCATTTTAATTCCTATCAAAAATAACTTTTTAAAAAAACAATATATTATTATTTAATAGTGATTACAGAGAAATGAGTTAAGAAAACTCAATATTTTGAATGTATGATTTTTAATCAAAGGATTGTATTCTTTGAAAAATTTTCTAATGAATTAAATTTGATTCATTAACTTGTGCTAAGAAGATTCAATTTGTAAACGAAGTAAATTCAAAGAAAAGTCACACTATTTAAATATAAATGTTTGCCCGTTTGACAAGAAAAATGATTAATAACAGTAATAAATTTATAATTCATAATGAAAATGTAGTATAGTATAATTTCATGAATAGAAATTTTCGATCTTTTATTGTTAGTACGATCATCATCAACTTCAAACATATCACTTGTAACTTCAGTCTAATTATTTATTTGACAACAAACAATAACAGCTAGAGAAGATACAATACAAACCAATCTATAAACATTACTATATACATAATATATCGATGAACTTAAACAAGATCGGAAATTTCTGTTCATAAAATTATACTATACTGTATTTTCATTATGAATTATTTATTGTTATTATTCAAGTTTTCTTTCTTTAAAATTAATAAATTTAGTATTTATTTTTAATTTCTCTCAATTATTAACCCAATTATATATAATATAAACTAAAAAAAATTAATAATGTCTAACTTCACCATTCATGGGCAGAAATAAAATATTCACAGTATTCAACAGTATAATAAAATATAAATCAAAAGAATAATTGAAAAAACCAGACAGACATTTTTTTACAAAAACAAAAATTTCTTTTTACATCTTAATAATGAAAGTATCCTACAACAAACATACGGAATGTTATATCGAAAGTGGATGCAACATAAAAAGTACGAATACATGTTGCATGGCTTACAAAAAAATAAAACACTAATTACTCTTGCTATAAAGAACTTTCATTGTGTTTTTCTTGTTAAAACAAATATCTTATTATGAAATCATAAGTATATTTGACATCTTCTATCAGCACTACTAGAACTCCTACTTGATGTTGATAGAAATTTATGAATCTTTGAATTTTTTTAACATATATTGTCAATAGAAATCACAAAAAATTTTCTTCTTTCTCTTTCTCTTAGATAGTTAAATTGTTTGTTAGTAGAAAACAAAAAAGCATTTGAAATCATTCAAAGAGAATAATTTTAAAGATTGAAACGACGTTCTATTGTGTTGATGTCGTTGATAAGAGCAAACGAACGTGTATGTCCTCAACGAACGAACAATTAATACTTTGAGAGTGAGAGAGAGAAGTCAGGCAAGAATATTGATTGAAGAATAAGAAATTAAAAGCAATCATTACATTTTTGCAGTGAAAAAAAGAAAAAACAAGAGATTCTTTTAGAGTATAAAATATCGAAGACCTTTACGTGAACAGTCACAAAATCAACTAATAGGTATTGAATTTGTTTCAACAATGACAACAAATTATTTCCAGCGTGGTATGTTACATATATACACATATACATGTACAAATTCCTTCTGAATCGAAACTATAATCTTGTTCTATTTATTTTCGTGTTTCTATGAAATATAGATTTTGACAACGATTGTTATAAATTAATAATAACTTTAGATAAGAAAAAAACTGTTAGTTTAATCTCTGTGGGATTAACATATGAAACACGATGTAGATGCTGTTACTAATCACAGGAAGATTGTTTTATTCTATCTATGTTGAGACACATTTCTTCACCATCATTTTACTCAATTCTTGAGAAATTCAACAACGAAGTAGTTCATATATTATTAGAAGTCGTTATTGATATATGATCGTTTGTGACGCGGAGGAGAGAGTATCACTTACAATTGAAGTGGATGGAATTCTTTTCAACGGGGTTGGCTAGTTGGAATTCTCAGCTTAATCACCAGAAAATCGACTGATTCAATTCAAGAATTCATTAGTAAAAAATTGGTACATTTGTACGTGTCTATTAATCTGCTCCTAGTTCATTTGAGAAAAAGTTTATTAGTATAGCTTCACGAAGACATACAATGGGAAACTCATATGATTGTTGAAGTTTCTAATAGTAATAAATTCTATTTTAGTCTGTCGGATCCCATATACGCTAATACTTAGAAGGAAGGAGAGAATTTGTTTCAAAACTTTTCATCTATTAACTCATAGTGACTGATATTTAACAGTGTCTATGCTTTGTTTTGCCTGGTTTTGTTCAAGAAAGATATAAGTTCTTTACAAGCACTGATAAATTTAATGTTTTCTTATTTGAAATCATTAGTTGACCCAACTGAAAGGCTTCTCAATTTGTATAAGTCTGCTACTGTCGATAGGAAGACAGAATGAATTTCAAAGTTCGATTTTTATATCAGGCTTCATATTTCTAGATCATTTAATACCTAGATATTGTCACAGTTGTATGAGGTAGCAGTAGGTAGAACTTCCAAAACAAAACAAAATACTTTCTGATATTTATGTAACGATAAAAGTAGCCCAACAAATGTGAATTCAAAACTTTGAGATTGAAAATCTCTAGTGTATATCGAATTTAACTTCTAATGACTGGTGAACTTTTTGTGATCATAATCAATACATGTAGCATGATACGAAACCCTTATTACACTATGAAAAAGCATGAATTCAAAATTTAGAGCTGTGATTTTGATGATCACTGGAAATTTGTCAGTTGAAAATTTTAGTACTCATATTTCTAGACCAATAAGATCCCGATTCCAAGTCTGATATTGCCAAGATCTGTGTTACAGCCTGTGATGAACCGTTTCTAACTTGCCTGTCGGAGGAGGGAGGGTCCAAACCTCTACCTCTATAGTTCAACATTCTTTTTAGAGGATGTTTTACAAAATAGAAATGAATAAATTTAGTAGAAAAACTCAAACAGAGAAAAACATACATATTTCTCTTTGATTTTAATCAATTATTATACCTATAAACACAAGGATTTTTTTGTTCGTTCTTTAGAACCAATGCGATTTCAACCATCTCCACGTGTTGTTCCAATAGATAATTATAATTTAACTGATGAACAAATTAAAACTCGCCAACAAATGGCTCATGTGTACGTTAATATCAATAAAACCTAATTATTTGAAATAAATATTTATTATTTTTTTTCTAGAAATGTTGTTGTTACACAAGCTGGAAGAAATGTTTGGGATTTTGAACATCCATGGTCGAGTAAACTTTGTTCATGTTGTGCAGATACTTCTCAATGTAAATATTATTGATTTAATTCTGAAAATTATTTATTTTGACTTTTATTTTTTGAGGTTGTTTTGCTTTCTGTTGTTCATGGTGTTTCGAATGTAGATTATTTAAACGTGCCGGTGAAAGTATGTGGACCAGTCTGAATCCTTGCGCAAAATTTGCACTTCGATCAAAAGTTCGTACGGCATTTCGTATTGAGGTAATTTTTCATATGATTAATTTGACGAATATAATATATACAACAGGATATTAATTAGATAAGAGTACTATTTTGCAGTGAAGAGTCTGATATGGGTTAGTTTTTCGAGACTCAATCCATTTGGATTTGACCATAATTGGGTCCGACCTTGTTTGATTCGACCCGAGGTTACAGATACTTTGAGGCAGAGCTCGTCTGGTTGATTCTAGTACCGATCCAGATTCGGTTGAGTCCGAATCTGACAATTCTGGATCCGATGGGCTCTACCTTTTTTTGGTCAATCAAAGTGAGTTATTTTAGAGAATAAGCATCCATTTTGCTGAACCTATACAAGCTTTCTTAAAATATCTTATATAAAATTACTGTTTTGCTAATGTAAAATACAGCATCAAACAAGTTATTGTGACTCGAATCGGACTCTGATGAGATTAGAAATTCTTGGTGTAATTAGAATAAAAATTTAAGAAAAAAAAACTTATCTTGAGATGAAATAAAATAAAAAATATTTATAAGTCTTGATCTTGATCTTTCTTTGAAAGGTTTAATAAATAAATGTAATATCTTTGAGATCGATTTGCAATACATCAGAAGTTTTGAATAACCCACAACAATTCAATGTTTGAAAGTCTAAATAAAATCTTCAAGGCTCTTAACAGTAATAGATTCATGCGTTTTATTCGTACATTCGTTTTCATCTTTTTTTTTCAATAAAGTTTTGGATCGAATTTGACGTTGGTTCAGTAATATGTTCGGTTTGACTTGTTCTTACATTTCAAAAACGAAATGAGAGCATCGAAATCTTTCTTACTGGAAAAAATATTACATTTCTGTTAATTTGTTAACCTTCGTTAGAGATTCTATCGACCATAATACCCTCCTACTCCACTCAGATAATCAGTAAATCTATTGCTAATTACTTTTTGTTACTAGATTTCAGACATCTATATGTTTATCAATTTGATTTGATCAGACTATTAGATAGTCGCATGTTTCGGTATCCGATAGTGATTCTTTGAATAAATCAATAGACAATATGAAAAAGGATATGATTTCTTTGAACTAATAAATAAACTTAATAGTATTAAACACAAGACAATAAACTCTAATGTTCTTTTCAGGGTGATTTATGCGAAGATTGTTGTGCTTCAACATTTTGTCCATGTTGTACGGCCATTCAACTTGAACGTGAACTCATTTATCAAGGTCTTTGAAAACGTATACTTACTGTAATACTTATTTTTAAAAAAATAAAGCACTCTTTTATCAAATAAATATTTCTAATTTAATTAATTGAAGAGAAAAAGAAACCATTTGACTTATTCTTTTTTTTTTTCCTGTCTTTATTCTAATGTACAGAATATAAAAAATATAAAATGAACATGTTCAATTAATTTTTAAATTTATATTGAAAGTTGATTAAGATATGATTGTGCATCATATAATGATTGAGAACATTGTCGTTGAAAAAAAAGTTTTTTTAAATTAAGTTCAACACATGATAATGTACGTTTATTAAATAATGTTTCTAATGCTGTCCACATATATGTTTGATAAAATTCATTTTTACTCATTTTTAAAGTTGTTGATTTAAACCAAAGACATAACTGAATACAATTACAAACACGAGATATTGATGGACGCTAAAAACAATAAAAATCTTTTAGATAAAATCAAATGAAAAAAAAAATCTATATGTAAATACCTCTTTAGGATTTTTACGTAACATGGAATGAACAAGTTTTTCAATAAGTGGAAGTGCTAGAGGTGAAAGTGATGGTAATTGTTGATCATTATATGTTTCTTGTCGAAATGAACCATGAAAAAATGGATTTGGTAGAGAAAAAAATTCATAACATAAAGCACCACTTGCCCAAAGATCAGCTTTACTATAATCAAGATAACTTTTTGGACCAGCTTGACATGATATAATCTAATTTAATAAAATCAATATAGAAAATCATGTATCATATACAAAATATATCTTGTAAAATTTGTCTATTTTAATAAATTAATATGCAGATTGAAGTCAAAATCCAATTACCAAGATTAAAAGAAGGAAGAAGAATATTCATATCCTTTGGTAAGGAGTGCAGTCTAGTGGCAGATTCAATAGCTCAATATCTTTTCTACAACTAATACTAGCACAGTAGTTCTGGACAAAAGGCCAGTCTAACGTAGAGTTCTTGAACTAAATTGTTTGAGCTCTCCATACACACTAACTAATCAAAAGAGAAAGTGGAAGAGATGTCCATCGCGGCTAGAAATCTGCTGCTGCTGCCATGGCTCGGTGAGCTATATAAAAAGATGCTGCTGTCGCGATGATTTTCTAGAAACTCTTCAAAAATCTCTTCCGTCACTGTGCTTATTTAGCCCAGTTAGATTGAATCTATCAGATTGACTACAATTCTAACTCTTGAAATTGTAGACACTCAAATCCAATATAAATCCATGCAATTCTGCAATCTCCCTAAAAAAAAGACGCTGCCGCTGACGTCATCACGGTAGCGATAGCACTGCCATGAACATCTCTGGCAGGTGATATACGTGTCTTCTTAATGGTGAACATAAAACCGAAACTCAAAAAATGTTTAACTCAATTTCAATAGTTCTCTCTAATTTCAATTATTTAAATAAAAAACAATCCAAAATCTTGAAGTTTTCATTTTTTTTTAAATTCTTGAAAATTTACAAATTCAATTTTACTTTTAACTAACTGCAATTTATAGAGTTCACTAGATATCATTGTTACAATAAGCTTTTTTTTCTTGATCTTGAACATATTACCGGGTGATCCAAAAGTTTTGCAACATTTTGAAAAATTTTTGTCTACTACCTCTTTGTCGAGATTCGTGGTTTATTTCTCCATGTTTTAGTAGACACTTATGTCCCACATCATACTGATAGGTTACTATTTCTATACTATTATTTTCTTAAATTTCAGATGGTTAAAAGCAATGATCTCCGAAATGTAGCAATTTCCCACTTTCAAAGTGGGAAAAAGGCTCCAGAAATTGCAAAATTATTGGCAAATAAGGTTAACCGAACCACGATACATCGCTGGCTACGTCGTTATAAACAATCTGGCTTAATTTGTGTTAAATCAAAATCAGGAAGACCAAGAACTGGACGAACAAAACGACTTATAAATCTGGTCAAAAAACGGCTTGATTCCAACATTCGTCGAAAAAGTATACGGACAATGGCGAATGATTTTAAAAGTACATATGCAACCATCAGACGAGTACTTATTGAAGATTTAGAAAAGAAATGTTATCGAAAAATTAATGTCCAAAAGTTGAAACAAGATCAAAAACCAATAAGAAAAAAATGTTGCATATGGATCAGAAAAAATATTAATCGCCACAAAGTGGAAAATATGATGTTTACCGACGAAAAAATATTTACAAGGAATGGTTATTTTAATCCTAAAAATGATGTTGTTTGGGCTGACAATCGGTGCGATGCTAATGAACGTGGTGGTGTTCATGAAAAGGAAAAATTTCCAGTGTCGATCATGGTTGCATTGGGAGCAACATGGAACGGACTTACGGAACCATATTTTTTTGCGAACCACGAACGGCTAAATGGTAAGACGTATTATGAAGAATTGTTACCGTTTTACAAAGAGGAAGGTAACCGGTTATTTGGCCATCAAAATTGGGGCTTTCAACAGGACGGGGCAAGCTCTCACACCGACCGTCGGGCTCAGGCATGGTGCAAAAAACACTTCAAGTTTTTCATTTCAAAGCAAAAGTGGCCACCCAATTCACCAGAGCTTAATCCATTGGATTATTCAATTTGGGATAGGATATCAAGTCAAATGGAATACAGAAAAGTAAAAACGATCAACGATTTACGCCGAGAAATTCGGAAAGCAGTCATGAAAATTGACTTTAGTTACCTACGGGAAGTTATCGGTGCTTTCCTTCGAAGAGTGTATTCTGTAGAAAATCATGAAGGTGAACTAGTTATTAATGAACATTGTTGATTCTATTAGTACTTCGATGTAGCTTTATGAACATTATATTGTTATTCTTTTACTTTGTTCTTTTATCAATAAAGTTAACTTTTTGAAAATGTTGCAAAACTTTTGGATCACCCGGTATCTATTTGTAATTGTAACATGGAAATTAATACCGAATGGACACAAACTAATCGAAGTACAAGAGCATTTATATAAACAGTACAATTCATAAAAAATTTGAGAGTATGTGTTCTTCATGCTGCTGCTTTAATAACGATATCCTTGATCACATAGTTGATTCATCGTTCTGTGAAACTATCAGCGGTATGTGATAGTAATACAACCCACAGGTAAGATACCTGTACCTGGTTACACGTACGAAAACTTATATCGATGCAGTTCTCTATCTCATATTAGCAATTAATGTTGAATTACCACTATAAATTATGATAAAACTTCTTTGACTTCGATTAAAATCCGTCTTAGCTAAGTGCAAATCGATGACCTTCGTTCGTACATTATGAGTACTAATTTATCAGTAAATAAAAAACCCATTCAGCTAGTCAAGATCCATCCAAAATATATAGTTCTCTTTCGAAAAAACATACTTATTTTAGTTCTAACCGATAATAATACTTTATTTTACGGCTTAGATTACTTTCAAGACCAATTATAATATGCATATAATTTTATTCCATAGAAAACATGATAATTACTATTTAACAAAAAAAAGCTTTTTCTTTATTCCATGTGCAGTCTTCTAGATACTAATTCAATTTTACCTAGGTCAAAATTTTTTTTTCTGCTTAAAAGCTCATGCCCTTGATACAGCGCAGCAAATGCTTTGAGGTTAAAAAAAACATTTTTATTGAACAAAAAAACTTACGTTCTCTACAAATTACATTAAATTTTCTTAAAATAAAATAATTTTTAATTAAAATTTTGTAAAATAATTTTATTTTCTATATGCATTCTCATTAATCAATTCTTTCAAGGTCAACTATCAAATTTAATTGTTTTATAGAAAACTAATAAAATTATCAACTTTATAATCAACTGAAAATTTAAAACAATTTTATTCATGTTCGCAAATGAAAAGTAAGCAGTGTATGTCATGCTATAATCAGCATACTATCGAATGGATAATCTGAGACACATGACCGCTAACGACTTGTCCAAGGTCATTCCATGGCTGGTGATATCAAGGTTTGAACATAGTACTTTGTTGATATATCTGTCGAACAATTTAGTCATGCAATTATGGTGCCCCCTAAGACTAAACAATTCTGTTTGTATTAAAATCGATAATTTTCTTATTCCTACTGTATTAAAATATCGAGCTTTTCTGAATGTTATGATACATTCTCAAAGTTTCATTATCTACACATCAATTTTTTATATTTACATATAAAAATAATCAAATTTTTAATTGATCATTAAATTTAATATATAAAACTCACTTCAGGTGCCATTAATGCAAGATTTCCACCTTTACCAATTTCATCAGTTGTATAAGGTACTTTTAAATTTGGTGGTTGATATAAAGCACAACCAAAATCAGCTAAAACAAGTTCACCAGTTGAATTACATATAAGTAAATTATCACTTTTTAAATCTCTATGAACAATTGAATGACGTTTTAAATATAATAAAGCTTCAAGTAATTGTGCAAAAAGTATTAAACGTTCATGATGTGTCGGTTTATTTAAACGAATATATTCACTTAATGTTAAATCATAACGACGCATAACAATAAATAATGTTTTATTTCTTCCATAACTATCTGATGATAAACTTGTTGGTATTGCCATTGGATAATATATATATGCTTCGTTTAATAATGGAAATGAATCAACAAAACATGAATACATATGAACTATATTTGGATGATAAGAACATTTACGTAATGGTAATAATTCTTTATCCATAGCTTTTTCAAGAGCTTCAGCATTTGATTGAATACCATAATTAAATAACATTTTTATAGCTAAATTAAATTGACCAGCTACAAATAGAACAAATTATGAGTTTTTAGAAATAGATAATCTAAAATCAATATTTACATGGTGATACATTAGATTCAATATTAGATGATCTATTCATATTTGTCGATGCTCGATATCGAACTATAATTATAAAGTAATAAAATTTTTTTTAATAAGAAAATGAAATTATTCAAGCGAAGCTGATATTTTATCTTCTTTCTCTACTGATAATATAATTTTGATATAAATTTAATAATCGATT